GTGGGGCATCATTGGAGCAAGGGGAATTTTTGGCAGTTGTTGCCTTCTGATACAAGGCAAGGCAACCTGGTTTCAAGGAACAGCACGGCGACCTACTCTCCAGGGTCGCTCGGGCCTATGAAACACGCAGACATCAATGTGGTGGACGGTCAAAAGGTCTTTATTATCTCTTCTCATGGGGTTTTATAATCTAGGGTTTTTCTACGTCATAGGGAGTCTGTCTTTTACCATCTATGGTTAGTAAGGGGTGGAAATTTACTGGGTAGGGATGGAAAGTTACCGGCATTGGTTTAGGGGGCTGCATTCCTATGTTAATTTCCTTATCTAAGGGAACAGGGGCCCTGTCTTCCCATAACATCGCGAGATCTTCCGAACACCTGACCCTATCTACCACAGGCAGTGCTCAAGGTAGTGTCTCATCACTAAGTCGTATAACCAGCTTGCTTTCTGAACTTACTTCATTCTTTGAAGGGTTGGAGTTAATGCTTCCCTGTTGTGCTAGGCTACAGGGCACCCTTCCATGCTCTATGTACAACAAAGAGGCATTATGATTTTAGTCAGTTAATTGTATTTATGGACTAAATCTTCTGTTTGTTGCTCCCATTTATTCAGAGGAGAGCTCATCAGAGTGGGGAGGAGTGTTTAGTAGATAAGTACATTTTGGGCTTGCACCCTCCCTTCAGAAACAACATTTAACTCAGGAACTTGCATCATATAATATAATGTAGTCTTGTGTAACAGCTCTGTGTCAGACCTTGTGGCCTCTGGTGCACCATATTTAGAGATTTTCAGAACAAGTGCCTATATTTGAACTTCAAAATCCTCTGGGAACACAGGTAATCTGAAGCCCAGAGCTAGTAGTTTATTAGCAATGTTATTTTCATTTCAATTAGAACAATTAGAGCAAAATAAAATTGAAGTAACTAAATAAAGAAGTAGCTACCCAAAGGATATGCACGCAGTAAAAAATTGATTGCTTATGAGAGACTGAATATTTTCCATTTGGGTGATTTGGCACAGTTTTTCTAAAAGATTAGTGGTCTTTTATGTGTGCTCCTGATGCCTACATGACTGCAAGTTTCAGTGTGGGTCAGCAGAGGTTACAAGGATACCCATAGTAAAAAATGTTAGCATTAGTAAAATCTATTACAAGCCAACATGTAAGAGTGTGTATTCCATTTGTTTTGTGGTTTTAGGAAATTTTTTTACAACTTTCTCTCTATTCCTGTATTATAAGCAATTTAATTATCTATTTTCTTATGATAACGCTAACTGAATTTTCAAACCTTTTTAGTTGAATTTAAATATTAGTATGAGTGCTTAATGACAACAGAGCTTCATTAATCAGTGTTAATATTTTATGACGCTGCATACTGAATTTCTTGTGTCTTTGGTTTCAGATTAAATAGAATCTCTACACAAGAAAGCTATTTCACAAGAAAACTAAATGTCCTTACAGCAAGGTTTAATTCCTTCCTGACATATGAAATGAGAAATGAAAAGTATGATAGATGCATTATATCATGATGAGGGTAGTTTCTTGAGAAATTTTGTAAAAGCAGTTAATTTTACCTTTACTTATGGATGTATATACAAATCATATTGCAATATAAATCAGAGTTAATGTCAAAACGAATTATCTTGAAACTGCTTTTCACTTACAGATTGCAATTCTGTATGCATGGAAATTATGAGGAAATACAAAAAAGGGTCTGTTAGTGGAGGAGTAAGTGTTTTGATACACACCATTCCATGAAGGGCTATTCATTATCATCAGTAATTAAAGAATTTCTTTCATTAGTGAGTGTAAATATATATCTACAAATAAACAGTTATTACATGGATCACATCAAAAAGCAATTCTTCCCTAATACTAAAAATCAAAGGTCCAGAGCCCTCTTTACAGTTAGTTTTCATAATATCCTGATTTCAAGAGAGACAATTGAAGTCAGTAACTTTCTTATTGAACTTAATTTGGGGGTTTCAAACCACAGCAAATCATAAACCAATCTTCATTTGGTCTGAATTATTCAAAAGGAAATGAGACCTAGTAGAGTGCTCCTGTCTTCTGAATCTGACATAGAGGCAATGAAAAAGCACTGTTTAGTTCAAACTGGTATTGAAATTGATTTACACTATCAAATAATGTGTGCGTCACATTTCTTGTTGCATAGATATTAATGTATATCATGAACTCAGCTCAGTTTATATCTGCATGGATTAAAGCCAACAAAAGAGGCATTTCTGTAAAGCTGTCAGGAAAACAAACCTGTTGCCACATAAAAATACATGCAGCACTCTGAACACTTTAGTTTAATGAATTTATTTTGCTGTGCTTATCCCAGGCTGTGAGGCAGAGGACAGTGATTTATAACTTGCAGAGCCATAGGCCTGATAGGATGATGAAGGACCATTTCTTCTCATTATGCCAGCAGAGCTTCTTTTCATCTCTTCTCTTATTCTCTGTTCATTGTTTGCCCTTGGCATCATCAGTCACCAGGCAGTGCAGTTTACAAACATTGTTTTGGCTGGCAGAAAATAAATCGGTCAGCCAATGATGTGAAATCTATCAAATTCCTACAAAGCTGCATCTTGAAACCCCTATTCGAGCTGATCCATAGTTTAGATAACATTTTACTTTTAAGAAATAGATTCTTCCTTCCTCACTCATTACTCAGAGCAAGATGCATTTCCTTTAATCTTTCAGCAGTCAAAGGCTGACCAACTTCCAAGAGCCGTAGAGACTAAATCATTTATCTCTGAACCTTTTTTGCTTTTGTTACAAAACCCACATGGACAACTTTATGGAGGCATAGTTGAGCAGTGTTTGTCATTGTGGGTAACCAAATGTGAATAACAGCCAACATGGGGAAAGTAGCTGAACTTCATTGTTGAAAGGAAAACATACAAACCAGAAAGGCGACAGGAACGGGTCTAAACGCAGAAACAAACAATGTATCATGTTTATCCACTTGAAGTCATTTAAACTATAAAGCCCTGTTTGTTTGAGTGATTTGGTATAATGCACAATTAAATCAGTTGTCTGCAAATGACTGCAGCTGCTGAATGGGAAATTAGGTGCTTGTAAATTTTATCCAAAAAAATAAATAAATCTGGATTACAAATCTGAACAAAAGTAGACACAATGGTATGGCTTTCCTTAAATAATTGAGCTATTTGGTGGAGCTGTTGTGACCATAATGTGACTAGATACATATAAGAATGGAGACATGAAGAAGATTTGCAGAATATGAAGGCTGGAAGGCATAGTGCCGTGCATATATGAATTTTAGACTCTTGGGACAAAGTCTTGAAAAATATCCCCTAACTATCATTATTGCCAACTAGGGGATCACAGACTGAGATGAAAAGTAATTTACTCTGCTAGTCAGCTACATCTCTATTTTGATGTGTGTTTGAATTATTTGAAGTTTGATGGGGCTTTTTTAATGGTAGCCATTGTAAGTTGATGAACCTGAAGTTACTGCTACGTCTGAGTTTGAAGGTAAGTATGAAAGGAAAACATTTTTTTCAGCATTCTGACCTTTTCTATGCTCCTGTTAACTGGATTTACTGTTTATAGTCCACACAGTGGTGATAGCAATGATTAAAGTCTTCCACAATAAACCTAAGGACCTGGATAGGCATTTTTCAAGAGTTTTGCTCTGCACAAATTTCTCATAAGTGTCAGTAATTATTTGCCATCAATAACTGGAAATATAAATGTGCATAAAAAAGCCAGAAGTAATAATTTAAATGTTCTGTGTAATATTTCTTAGTAGCTTGCATGTGTGTGTCCCATGCTCCTTTTCTTTACCAGCAATGCCAGGATTATGACACATCCCAAGGACCAGCGCTGTAGGCATCCCAGGCTGTGTCCATATGTATCACACTCTTCAGTCTCCACCTGTGGGACATGCACGGCTGTACAGAACTGAAGGTTTTAAGCTGATCTAAACCATTTCGATCTGCAGAAGGCTGAGCCATGGGGTGCTGCAGGCTCAGCACAGAAGACTGTAGTGCTGTCAGTGCCAGAGACTGGGAAAGTCAGGTCAGGAGGGAGATCTCTTTCACCCTTATGTGAGTCCCGTGGTCTCTACCTGTCTGAAGTGCGTCAAAATCAAAATAAACTCCCCAATCCCAAATCTGTCATTTTTTTATTCTAAATATTGTGATCAACCTGCAGTAGCCAAGTGTCTAAGAACATGCAAGTCCCTCAAGGACCAGTGAAGAGTTTACCAGTCCCACCAGTCTGGGTTGTTGAGAATTTTCAGACCTGCTGTTGATTCAGAAGGGATGGGATCCAGCCACCCCCACCACAACTGCATCAGTTTATTTGCTATTCTGAAATGCATCAGCAATCAATAATGTTAGTTTGATCTTTTAGGTGCAGCAAATATTTGTAGAAGGAAAGATTTAACTGAAAGTCTGTCCCTCAGAATGACAGAATTCAGGATGAAAAATACATTTGTTGTAAAAAACTTGGGGGCTCTTTAGTCCTTTTAAAGTAGCAAAGTAGGGAAGTGTGTTTTACTCTTGCAAAGTTTGATTAAGTGCCATATCTCTCTTGTTTCTTTATTTTAAGTCATTGGACTGTCACAGCTGTCACAAATCTGGCTATCCAACTGTCTAAAGTATTTGTTTTAACAAATGACTTTGTGCTTTGGCAGCTTCCTCAGGCAGTGAAGTTGTTAGATTTTTAAATTACTGTTTGGATACTTACAAGATTGGCTGCTGATGTCCATTCAATTTGCTTTTTATCTTTCTGTGAATACAGTAATTTTTACTGTGTCGATTTAATATTTTTTGAGGAATTTAGACAGCTACTTTTCTGGTCCTCTCAAAGATCAGCAACTCTGACTTTTTCTGGAAATGTTTGAAATCAGTGAATACTTATTGAAACTTCCAAAGTGATTCAAATAATTCCATGTACAATTAAGTTTGTATGTCTCCTTCTTTATTTTAGAATGTGTATTTTTTAAAAAGCAACATTTCTAAAAGCCTTTTTTCCCCTCTTGAGTACACATCTCTCCTAAATCATTGTTTTCATCTTATAGGTTTGCAAATGATACAGGCAATTACCTCTATGAACTTGTAATATATATAGCAGACAAATACAGATGCTGCTGTTGAAATGGTGGAGAATTTACTTTATTTTTCTTAGATTAAGGAGCAATATTTTTCACAAACAGTTCTAAGTCTAAGGAAATAACTGATTGTTACAGGGCTTTACCCGTTTCCTTTACTGACAGAAGACAGAGGTGGTAGTCTTGCAGAAGAGAACAGATGAGTTCAGCCATCAGATGGACGTCCCTGAAGAATATTTTGACTTTTTCACAGGAAACCTTGCTCTGGTCAGCATTCATTGACTCTTGGTGGAGCGGCTGTGTGTTGATGGATTCCTTTGAATTGAAGGTACAGCCAGAGCCAACATCTTCCTTCCTTTTGAAAGAGGATTTTTTGTAGGATTTCTTTATCAAATTGAGGAGCTTCTGTGCTAAGGGACTCTTAAAAGTAATTCACCTTTTATTGGTACACATATGGAAGTCTTGAAACAGCTATGACTTTATTCATATTTTGTTCTTGTAAAGGTATGAAGAAAGACCATTTTTCTCCCTATGTAAGTGGAGATTGAGTGGAGGAAGAAGGACTAGCTTCAGGATCTGAGTTACTAGATGCTAATTCTTAGAATTAAGAAGTCCTTTACAAATAAATAGCTGCAGTCTCACTTCTCCAAGGGTTTTATTCTGCTTAATATATGAGATATTTAGATCTAAAAATTGTAGCTCCCATGATGTTGAATTGCCACGTTTCAGTCATATCCTTCCCAATGAATATAAAATGCCACCCTTTATTTAAACATGGAAGTGCAATTTGGCAGCAATGTACATGCTGTTATTGATTGTAGAGGTTGCAGAGTCATGCAGGACTCATATCTGTAATTTTTTAGGGGACCACTCTTTATTCTGCTGTGGGCATTGAAGCAGCTGAAACTTCTTTGGATTCTCTATATGGCAGTATTTATTGCTTTACTGTTCAGCATCTGTTTTTCATGCAACATATCCCTGTGTCTGCAGGGAAAAATCTGTATTAAAACTTCAAATATAACTTTCTGGCTAAAGTTACATAAAGTCTTGGATTTAGAGTTCCTCGACTATGTATATACAAACAGCATCAGCCTATGAAACTTTTAATATCTATTGTATATTTTTATTTTACTAACCACTATAAACACCAACATGATTAAAATATTTTAACCAATTTCTGAACACCACTAGAATCACTGTTGGAATTAAGGACTCTTTGCTTGTGTTGAACCTTTCAACATGACACTAGAAACAATAGTTTCAAATTCTCACAGGCTTTTAAAAGTTTCTCCCTTTTTTATTCCTTCCTCATATGAAAGAGATACCTTTTGAAGACTCATGCTTTCCAGGAAATTAGTATTCTTCACATCTTCCTGCCACTGTCTAAAAACCGTGCAACTCTTCATCTTAGAAAGCCATTGTAGACTATTAATTTTAGCTGATTATTAAAAAAGCACAAAATTTTAAGGCCATCATTGTGCTTTTGCAATGACTTCTCCTCATGGTAAGTTATATTTCTGCCTATTTTAAGCTGTGCTGAAATGTTTTCTGTATTTTCCCTTTTCCCTCTTTGTCTACGTGCCTTCATTCTACTTTCAGTCTTCTATCTCCAGTCTGGTCCCATGCTGTGTTTGTGGGTCATGATGAGGGACAGCAGTACATCTGACTTCATAACCATAGTTAAGTTTATAAAATAACAGGATAAAACAAAAAGGATTGAAAACGGTCTAGTGAAGAGGAGGCAAAAGTTCTTTAGTGTTAGCCTGGCCTGCCCATCAGCAAACACTTGATCTGCTCTTGCCTCACTTGTCCCTATCCAATTTGAGAGATAGAATTGTAGAACTTGTTGAGTTTCAATTTCTTTAAAGCAACATAGGTCAATAAATTGAAAGACTACAAACAAAAACCACCTGTAAGGTTCCTTTAAAAAAACTGTAGTACTTCAGAATATATATTAAAGAAAAATTTTGTTTTATCCTTTTCTCATAATAACCATTTCTAACTACATTTCACTCATTTTTTTCTTACTGTGGTTTTTAAAATACTGTATTTTTATGGGCCTATGTGTTTATCTAAGAAGATAAATATTTCAATATAAAAAATGTAAATGGAGTCTTTGAATCTGTTTTAATCTCTTTCCTTAAAAGTTTGAACATTCAGCAAGGATTTTTTTGTTTTGTTATACTTTGTTTCCAAAGGTAATAGGAAACATCTCATAAAATGCATTTTATGTTGTAAGCTTAAGGCTAGATGTTATTATTTACATGCTGTATTATGTTGGGAAAAGAGGTAGCTTAAATTAATGACATTAATAATTCCTCTCGTAAATCATATTGTAAAGAAAGTAAAATAAAAAATTGCAATAAAATCCATTTCAAGTATAACTGATACACCTCAGGGTGTATCTTTTAATTATCTTTCCTCAGCAAGGAAATGAATATGGTAATGTCATAACTCCAGTAATATTTGCCTGGGTGCTTGACCATTTCTTTACTAAAGAAATTGTTGTATCCCCGCAGCAGCCAGGATCATGGAGATGGAGAACATCCCTACCAGACCTACACAGACTGATAACACAAAGTAAGTAGGCTTCTCCTGTGGAACAACTGACAATTGCTCTGAGTGAATTTTCTATACCCTTCACTTTTAAATTGAACTGTCAGCAGGCACTATACTTAACAAGCCTACTTTATATGCTATTCATTAGATGTCTGCTAATAAATGACTGACAAGGCAAATCTGAAAGATTTCATCAGTGATCTGTCAAAATGCAGCATGATTAACTCTCAAAACTTAGAAGTTACTGTCATGAGGGTTGTCAGTTTGAGTTCATTTGTTTGCTTCACTTGGTTTGGCTGGCAAAACCTATCTTTGTTTAAAATCATGCCTCTGGGACTATCTGCCTAGTTCATTTTGTCTTCAGAATGGCTTTCTAGCCAGTGCTGGAATCATGTACTTCTCACTGAAATGGTGTTGGAGCAGATACACCTGACTTCTGGGAAAGACAGATTTCCACTTCATTATGGCACTCTCCCCTAGTCTGCACAAGTGTATGATTTATCCTTTAGTATGTACCACTCACACAGATCCATTTCAGAAGCCAGGGAAGGTTTGGATGTGACACCAGACTGGTCAAAGCTTGTTGCAATCTTTAGATTTGATGCTGGTTCAAGTAACTTTGAATCAAACCTTTGCCCATGGTGTTTTGTGGAGGCGATTTTTAGACTCTGCTGTATGAGGTAGAAACTGTGATAATTCTTGTGCACTACAGAGGGATCTAAAACTGATGCTGTGACATTCCTTTAACGTTTTCCAAGGTGTCTTTAAATTAACTGCTCTGGAGAGGGCCAGGTGCAGAGTCCAAGCAGAGGCCAGAGAGCAAACCAACAGCTGGGCAAAGGGGTAGATTTTGGTTCTTGCAGGCAAGATCATTCCTTAATCTTCCTTTGCTATGGTGTATCTCTCACAGACACACACAGCCATATCTGTTGAAAGGATCCTGCACAAGAAATGCTGCGTGTAACCTGCTCTGAAATGGAACAAGGAGGCCAAAATAGAATTAAACATTGATGCATCTCCCATTCTATCTTTGGCTGACAAAAATACCTCAGTAGGAGACTAAGTCCAAAGTATTAAGTGCTCAGCAGGAGCCCTTGAAATCCCTTTAAACCAGTTAAGACATAATAATCTTGTTTCTTTGTTGGACTGATTAGATTCTGTTCCATAGCATGTACTGATTCTTCTAGTAGAGATTCTGCATGGGGAACAAAAAAAAGAAGGTCCTACTCTAAATGTAGAAAGGATGTGTTTGACTTTCATTTAATCTAGAAATTATTTGCTTAGGTGAAGGTCTTATTATAGACAACTTATTCACATGGAAATTGATTAAGAAATTCAATATTATTCCTTCCTTTTCTAGACAGGTTGTAGCATTAAGAAGTAGCCAACTTACAGGTGAAAAAATGCAGCCTTGTCTTTCTCAGGATTTTGATGAAAGTCAAGTGCTATATTTAATAAGTTAAATTGTTGGGTTATGCCAAAAATATGCAAAAGTTTAATTTCTTTTTACAAGTAACATAGATCTATATTTGCTTTTTATTTTTAGTTTTCCAAGTAAAGTAGTTAGGAACAGAGATTTTCAGTTTTTGCATCTTTTCCCAAATGTCCTGGCCTGCCTTTTCATCTGTTTTTTTTTTAATTTATAATTCAGTTTTCACACTTGAAATAAGATACAGTTACAATCTTGTAAATAGGAGATAAAATACTAATTTTCTGAGTATTTCATCAACTTTCTAAGATGTGAAAATATTTCATCATCTTTTAAAACACGTATTAATTCAGCAGGATTACTTCTGCTGAAATAAGTTATGCACATAGCTCTTGTCAGGGATTACATTGACAACTCACACCTTTAAAATCCAAGCCTTTTTAAAGATGGGTACAGTGTTTCCCTTTTTCCAGTCACTTGGGTCTTCAACTGACTGCCCTAACTTTTCAAATATCATAGAGAGAGGCTTGGCAACATCAACCATTTCCCCCCTCAGGATTCTGTGCTACATCACATAGCTCTATGTACAGACATTTATGTGCATTTAGGCTCCTCAGGTTGTCACGAACCTGATCTTTACCTACAGTGGGAGGCACTTTTCTCCCCCAGTCTCCATCCTGCTGTTCATCCTCTCAAGGGGTCTGGGAAGAGAGGTTGCCTCTGAAGACTAAGGCAAAGACTGTTGATTACCTCAGCCTTCTCCTAATCCACTGTTACTGGTTTGTTACTGTTGTTTTTTCAGGGAGGTGCACGTACTTTCACCTTTCTTTTGTGATTACATACCTATAGAAGCTCTTCTTGTTATTCTTTGAACCCATTGCCAGCTTCAGTTCCAGCTTCTCCTTGATCTTCCTCACCCCTACACAAGCAAACTTCACTCTTTACTCTTCCAGGGTATATTACCTTGCATCCACTGCCTGTGCTTTGGCTTCTTTCCTTTTGCTTTGACCAGCAGTTCCCTACTCAGCCATGCTGGCCTCTCACCTGATTTTTTGCTCATGGGAATTGCCAGTTCTCACACTGTGGAAGAATTCCTTGAAGGTCTGCTGTTTCCACTCCCTTGTCCCTGAGGGAAGTCTCCCTATTGACTATATCCTTGAAAAGCTGGAAGTTTGCTATCCTAGAGTACAGGGGCCTAACTTCACACCTTTGTGAGCTGTATCCCTCAGGCCTGCAAACTCCACCAGTGCACCAGCACCACAGCCCAGGCTGCCTCCGGGCTTGATGTCCCAGTTACCTGCCTTGTGCTGGTCAGATCCAGCACTGAATTCCCTCGGGCAGAGCTGCCTGTTGGCTGGCTCCAGGAGTTACCCTCCGTGCATTCCAGGAGTGCTCTGAATTGCCCACAGCTCCCTCTGCCGCTTTCCCAGCAGCTGTTGGGGTGGTTGAAGTTCCCCAGCAGTAACTTTGATTATCTTGTTTGAGACTTGGCCTTACTTTGTGTTTCTTTTCTCAGCAATGCTGCCTGCCTGATAAGTCCTTCTAAATATAGATGAAGAAGCTGAAAGACCACATATCATCAGTGAACACAGAAACATAAAATCATCTTTGCTTCCTCTAAGCAAATCTTGACTTTAAATCAGGCAGACCCCCAGCTGCTTTACATTTCTATCTTAAGAAATAGGAATGTGATACATGCTGAGAAACTCTGACTGCAGGAAGCTGTTAAAATAATGAGCAATTTATTCATAAGGGTTTAGGTCTGACTGTCTGCATTGAGGAAAAACAAAAATAATACAATTTAAGTGTATGAAATCAGATTGGTGTGACATCAGTGTGGATGTGGTCAGAAAGAGAGGATTCTAAATATACTTCCTGTTCAACTGTATTGATGAAATCAAAATTTTTAGGTAATATAAAAAGGTTTTATACTAGGAAAACAAAATTATTCTACAGTATTTCTTCTGTTTGTGTTCACTTTATTGCATATATCTGAGACCAGTTCCTTTCACCCCTGCTCTCCTTGAAATAGATATAATTTTCAAATGATCCTATTAAAGCCTGTGAGATTCACTGAGGTGGATAATGTCTGAAGGGCTCAACCTCTAATTAATATAAGTTGGTTTTGAAAAAGGTCCACATTAGATTAAAATATAGCTTTTTTTGATTTAAAAAAGTTGCTTTTTTTCCTAAGTACAGTCAATTTATGCAAAATTTGAAATATAAATGCTTCTACTTTACAATGCATTTGAATCCTTTTACAGATGTCTCTATATCAAAATCCCCAGAGTATATTTTTATATCTTTATCTGTTGGGGTTATGCAAAACTTCTAGGAAGTAATTTTGTCATCCTATTATTTTTTGGGTAACAGCAAATGAAAATGCTGGATCAAAGTATTCTACTTTTATCTAGCTAAAAGTCAGAATAATCCATAATATAAAAGCTAAAGCGTTCTTTTTAGGTTTCATGAGGTCACAATTGTGGTAACATCTACTTCACTGTGTAATGTACTGTCAAGTCACCTCAGATACATTGGGAAAGGATTTGGCATGGTGTCACCTGAGATCATTATGGTCAGGACTTACTCTCTCTGGCTTGGGGGAAAAAAATAGACAGTTGTAGGAAGACACTGGGGAGAAAAATCTCAGGTTTTGGTATTTCTTGTTTGAAAACACAAGACCATTTCAAATCACGGCATGGTTAAATTATGCCAGTAAGTACCACAGTGGTGTTAGGTCCACTCTTCATAAAGAACTGTTACAGGTTTTAGAGAAAAACCTTGATTAAACCAGAAAAGATTTTGTTCTGATCCCTGGAATATGTTGCCTAGATGGAAGAAGGCACCACGTGTCTCTTTCTCAACATTCTTGTAAGGAATTAAAATTGAAATTTTATTCTTATATCTCATGAGACATTATTTGTTCTTTCTGATAGTTCTAAATTGAATCTTCCTGTATAAGACTGTTATGATTATTTTGTTTCTCATTTTCCCACCCTTCCCAAATCATCTTTAACCTCTCAACTGTTGGATGGGATTGGAATCAAATTTACTTCAAAAAACTCCCCATGAGGTTATTCTTCTGTATTCTAGCCTGACATAGAAAGCAATCAAAATCTCACATATCTGCATTTACATGATTATCATGCATATTTCATATCATAATTTTGCTTGAATACTTTTGAACATGTATTGTTAAGAACATGTAGACCCACAGGAATAATGAGTTAACACAACTAATGTAAAGTATAAATATGGTAAAAAATTATTGTAATTCTTAATACACACAGAATGACCAAATCCAGCCCTAAATCTCCAGTTTGGAAAGGCCTTTATGTTCTTTCCTTACAAAGAACCATTTACTTTGTATGATCATCCTGAGGATATCAGCTCTTGCTCCTCACTCCTTTGTGTTATGCTGCTAGTGTTAACAATCCTAAAATTCACATATCACCCATATTCCTAAAGTTATCATGTTATATATACATCTCATTTAAATTTATATATCTCAGTGGTAATTTAAAAATTTTGCATTGGTTGCCGCTAATAAAATCTGACCTTTTTTATTCTCCTTGGTACTCTGTGCAAGTCA